AGAAACTGCACTGTTATTAACTGTACTGGAAAAAACCTGTTTATTTCAAGTCCAAATGAAAACTTCATTACTGACTTACAGGCATGAAGATCTCCTTTTAGCATTTATTGAGCTCCTAGCGAGAGGTTTTATAAAGAAGCTTTTAGCTGCAAAAGACATTGTTCATCTTGACATTGTTCTAAATCATTTTAACTGTAGCCTACACAAAATCACACATGCAAACAGCGTTCCCGTTACACAGGTGTGACTCTGTCTAACATATATTTTCACTGAACAGGATTCTTTTGCTGAGAAAAGGAAAATGTTACACAGTAAAACAAAGGAGTGTATCTGGAACCCAATGTGTGAGGACACCAACTCGGTCAACTGCCACCTCCCACTCCCTCTGAGATGCAGCATCCTGGCGCCTAAGGAAGAAAAGCCTGAATCATCCCAGCTGAGGAGCAGGATACTAGCGTAGGAGCTCACACAAACAGCAATCTCCCCCCTCACATGCATTCTCACTCCACGACCCCATGGCTTACGGGCTCGTTATTCCCAGCTCACAACTCATCTGGAGAATCAACCCTGAAAAATATTTTCCAGCCTTGGCAAGGGTGATGTAACACTATCGCTGCTTTGGTTTCAGCTCCCGTGTCCCTCAGCTAGGATGGTCTGCGTGTTGTTTGACTCTCACTGCAGCTGTGCTATGGGCAGCAAGTAGGAAGGATTTTTCCACAATAGCCCCCCAGTCCTCTCTGCTGGACGCTTGCTCCTTACTACTCATGTGCCACAGCTTAGGTCCTTCTTGGCAGGCCAGTTATTTTATATTTACTACTAATTATTCTTTCGATCTTTTAAATGGAAACATTTTTTCCTTGTGATGAGATGTTTCCTCTGCATTAACCTGCTTTATCACCATGTGCCTCCCTCTGCCCTACTTTACAGGGACAGACACCCTTGGTGCCAGAGAATGCAGGTGCAGTGAAGCCACGCAGTGCCTGGCAACACCATTTTTATTTGAAGTTACACATAATTATCATTGATTTGGAAGTGTGACCTCCTTGATACACAGCCTTACAAGCTAACAGGTTTTTTCCAGAAATGACTTTTCAGTGTTTGTTATGCCCTCACGGACAACAAAATGTCATGGGTTTAAGCAGTTTTCAGGACTGTGCCAGGTTCCTTAAAAGGCCCCCAGACAAGTATTTTTTTGCTTTGCATACTGTCCTGAAAACCTTCTGTTTCCCTTAGTAAGCACCACAATGTCACACTAGTGTGAAAATGAGCACGTGTGGCTACAAACATCCAAAAGTATGTTTACCCCTGACAGCAAGGGCTCAGATTGTCACACTGGACACTCACCTGCTCTTCTCAGGAATATCTTCCTTTGCAAGAGAGCTGGGTAGCCCAGGGACCAAGCAGCGGGTGCTTACACACCCTAACCCTGAAATTATTATTTCGAGGGAAGGTTGGAAGTGACTGAAAGTTGTTCCAGTCCTGGTGCCAGTCTGGTGAGGCAGCTATGCCAGAAAATCAAACCCAAAATCCACCCTCTGAGCTGCTTCCACCTTTGATGGAAGGATCAGCAGTGAAGTCCATGACTGAACTGGCCTCCAGCTTAAACTGTCCTCTGATCCAAGGCCGTCTCTCTACATCACAAACGAATAATGTTATGCAGAACGTTGCACACACTGCTATTTTTTTGCCAAGCGGTCTGTCAAGAAGTTGTCTTCCGATCTGATATCTTTACACAGAGTAATTTCATCCACAGAAATGCTTGCTAGTGGTTAAATTATGGCCAAGAATCTACATCCGGCCTGAATTTGCTCATGTTGATGCACTGTACCACTACTGGAAAATAACTGTGGTGTCACTCAAACTGGTATTATACTGGAGTGTGACCAGGAACAGGATTCAAGCAATATCCTGTGACTGGGAGCAAGAAGTTGAACTGGTTCTACATTTGCTGGAGGCAGTAGAACACCTTGGTGAGAGGCAGTCACTGTGCTCCCTTCCATCCCAGCATCTGGGGCAAGAGATGGGAAGACAGAAGAGGCTGCAACGTGTCATCACCACATCAAAAAGAGCATCCCCCTGCGTTCCTTTCCGTCCTGGCTGGCCGTGGGCAGCATTAGGAAATGACAGCTTTGGTATTCCCTGTCTCTGCCGGCATCTATCATCGCCCAAACCCTGGAGAATTCATCATTCAGAGAAGAGGGCAGAGGAAAGCTCTTCTCGACCTCAAGGCTCTCTTTGGTTCCCAGAGAAAACAGAAGAGGCAAATTAACATCCTGCCCTAGGAAGCTTTTTTTGTCCTCATCACTGTGGTGGCAAAATCCAGTTTTATTGACACCGCTGAGAAGGCTTGCAGTGGCTTGAGGATTAGAGAACATGATGGCTTCCACCCAGGACAGTCTTCCAGCTTCCTGTCCTCTCTTCCTAAGGACACACTGAGAGAGTATCAAAAAAGAAAAAAAAAAAAGCATCATCATCAAAGTGGTCATTCTGGGCTTTTCCAGCCCACAGAAGTCAGTAACCTTTCTGTTTGCACCAATATAAGCCCCAAGCAGTCAGAAAGAGACATGATTTGCACAAGCAAATTCACTCATTTCCTAAGAGAGGGCAACATTCAAGGCGTGACCTCAACTCCTTTCTCCTGGCCACAGCTCAGCTGAAGGCCCAGTATGTCAGATTCACCTCAGTGTGATTCCAGGGACTGGTCTGGAATCAATTTGACCCAGTAAGTCTCTTTGATTGCATCAGGCCTTTCAGAAGTTTTGAACAACAAGGATCTAAACAGCAGGCAGCAATCTGCACAAAAACAATCTTTGCAGTTCAAGGAATTTTTAAAGGTCTGTGCCTTTTTTCTTTTTTTTTTTTTCTTTTTGGTTTCAAATGCTTTCCAACTGAGCAAATGCTGCAGTGGGTTCATGGGAGAAGGCCTTGAGGCACCCCTGACTTTGGCACCATTATCCCATAGACACTCCATACATTTTTGGCACCTTGCAGCAGACACATTGACAGCCACAGGATTGATGGAAAGGGAAAGAAGCTGTTTTGCAGTCAAAAGAGAATGTACTCGGATTTCTAAGGCCATTTGAAAGAATGCCAGAATGATACTGGATTTTGGCATTCTTAAGCTCCTTTAAGATGATGCAGCAAGTGGTCTTTTCCACATGTGATGATGTATTTCAGGACAAGAGTTTCTTCAAGATTTTCCAAGCCTGTGGGCTCCTGATCCTTTTTCAAATTACAGAGATGATAGCATACCGGGGAGAATTGTGATTAGTTTAAACTCTCCGCAGCTGCGAGATGAATGTAAAAATTCCACCAAAAAATCCACTTCTTCTGGATTGAATTTACCTACACGACACCGAGCCATGACCAAGGGACCACTTAAAAGAGCTGGAGCAGCATCAACACTATTTAGTTTCTTCCATCACATCAACCCAGGGAAGGCTCACAACTGTTCTGCCCTACACATCTCCCCCAGCAGCGCTGCCATGACACAGGCTGGGGCACTAACGAAGCCCTGAGACACATGGGGAGGAAAATGGAACGATGAAATAACAGCTTAAGTACGAGGGAATTCAAACAGGGCTTGCAACTCATTACTTGGAGTACCAGGAGGATTGTAAAACACCTTGTAACCGAGAGGCTTTGCTTGGAGCTGTTAAGGACTGCAGCCCCCACTTCATCACGGGCTGACAAATTTTGAACGGTCTTGGCAATGGAGGGGGGTACAAGCACTGAGCTTTCTGTCTCAGCTGAGCTGAGGAGACGGCAATGCTTTGTTTTGCTTAACAGGACCCCTCCTCTCTCTCTCTAAATTGCTTCCTTGGGTTTCTAATCAAATGTAGCAATGCACAGCGTTCAGCTCCATCGTCTGTGGCAAAGTGTCGGCACTGGCAACCCTGGCGGAGGGCCCACCCTGAGACATTGGACCTTCCACTTGTCACTGAAGGCAGAGGAGGCCACAGCACACCTTGACAGACCAGTGACCAACACCTCCAGCGTTCGCCTGGATTTATTAACTCTCCAATGGGCGAGAACCTGTTTTATACGGCCTTCCTCAACAATGCTAGATGAACAACAGGAAAAATACCCCACTTGCTTATCTCTTTGTCAAGGAAAAGCAGCACTAGGGCATGAAGCCCCACAAAGCCCACAGCCAGGCAGGGGGGCAGACGTGTCCCTCAGCCTCCCGGCTGAAACTGGATGGAACCATTTGGAACCGGCTGGAACCAGCCAGAACCGGGCACTCCTTGGCCCAGAGCTGCCAGCGTCCCCCCACAGCCTGCCCCGAGGTCCCCAGGCACCCCTCGGGGACATCTGCTTGGGAGCCTACCTATTTTTAAGGGAATTAGGGCCTTTCTCTTAAAGGCAAAAAAAAAAAAAGCCAAACAGGCTTCTCCTGCAGGACTTCGAGCAAAGTGTAACCATTGCTTTTTGGTCTCAACAGACCCATATACCCCATACTGAGCTGTATTACAAATACGTTAAGCATAAACTCTATTTTATGGCTCTCAATGCCATAATCCTCAGTTGTGCCAGGGAACGCTTCCCTACCGGCGGCCCGGCTGTGCCCCGGGGTCCCGCTCTGAGGGGGCTGCCCGCGGAGGGGCCCGGGCCGGCCCGGTTCGGCGCAGCGGTAGCCCGGGACATTAGACCTAGTGTGGCGGAAAGACACGAATGCAGCATGCGTAGTCGTGGCCGAGTGGTTAAGGCGATGGACTAGAAATCCATTGGGGTCTCCCCGCGCAGGTTCGAATCCTGCCGACTACGGCCGGAGGTAAACAACTCCGTGCTTTTTTTTTTTTTTTTTAATTTGACCCCTTTCACTCCCGTTTCCCGGGATGGTGGGCGAGCCGGGGTCACGGCGGCGGGAGAAGCCCCACGGGCGCTCCACAGGCGACCCCACACACACACATACGCAGCCCGCCGGGCCGGGCGCGGAGACTCCGCCCCTACCGGCGCCGGGCGGCGCGGGGCCTCCTTGGCAACCGGCGGCGGCGGCAAGATGGCGGACGACCTGGAGCAGTTACTGGATGAAGTGGAGAGGCGGCTATGCCGCTTGCCGGGGCGAGAGGCGGCGGGCGGCCACCGGCACGGCGGCGGCCCGGAGGAGAAGGAGGAGGCGGCGGCAGCGGCGAAGGAGAGCAGGTTAGCCGTCCTGCGTCCATCCCGGCGCCTTCAGGCGCCTCCCCGCCGACCGGGCGGCCCGTCCGGTGGGGCGGGAGGGGGTCGGCGTCCGGCGAAACCCCTCCGGAACCCAAAATACCGGGGCTGGGGAGCCGAAATGTCGGCCGGGGTCAGTGAGCATCCCCTGTCTCACCTCAACACCCGAGCCGTGTGCCAGCGAGCAGAGTTACCTCAGAGAGTTTTGGTCTCTTGGGAGTATCCCAGCCTCGGATTAAATATGGCGCTAAAAGCTGCACTAATTTGCTTGTGAGTTAGGATTGGGGGTTACTTAACTCTACAGCTGACCTCCTGGTTCATAAAATATCTATAAATCTCCCAGTTTATAGCAGGAAGAACTTTAGTGGTACTGTTATAAAACATTTTATGCTGTTGATACTTCAGTCATTTATGCGGTCTGTTCATACCTTCTCTATTAACCGTACAATAAGTGCTTAAGTTTCACTCTACACATCGATGCATCTACCTCAGATTTCACAATTTTCAACACGACGGTCAGAATAACGCCAGTTTTCGGTCAGCACTGGCTCACTGCTGAAAGTACTGACAAGCTGTTGACCACAAGCTGGCCCTCAGGTTTCCATCCCGGCCCTCAGGTTTCCATCCCAGCCCTCCCTGGTGTCTCAGACCCCGGTTGGAAGGTCTGTGGACCAGAGGGACTTGGCCAGATATCTCCACAGGTGACATCTCAGCAGTCCATTTCAGGCAAGGATCTTGACGAGCCAAATGGCTAATACAAGACCCAACAACCCCACTGTCTTTGGCCACTTTACTGGACTTCCTCATTGTTTGCATAATGATTAGATAACCACCCAAATAGAATCAATCAAATTGCAATATTTTAAAAAATCACACAGTTTTCTTCTTTCTCAGGGGTAGAGATTTGTCCTTGATTGGTTGACGCAGCAATACTACAGACCTCCCTTTCTTTGACAAAGAGCTAGCAAACAGCAGACTTGAGTGATGAGGCTTCTCACACGAGTGAAAGCAAAATATAGGCCATCTCTCTAAATGCATACAGTTCGGCAGGAGTTCTTTCGGAACCCCTGCAGCTGTGCAGCATGAGGAGAGAACTCCCTCTGACCTTTTAATATTCATGCCACTGAAGATTAATGTGAAAAATTGCTCAGTAAGTGCAAAATGGGTTATGATATAGATTTATTCAGGCTTGGAAGTGATTGGAAGTGAAAATAGCAAGCAAAAATGAGACCTATGATGATAGAGCTCAACAGGGAGTGAGAGGTGTCATCCTGTAGTTTACATCTGTCCAGTCGTGATTCGAATGGCCCACCTTAGGTACTACAGAAACATTAGAGGAAAAAGGCTGTATCTAATTTTATGTTTTAATTTACAGTTCTTAGAACTGCTCTGATCGTGCTACAAAATGAAGCCTGATTTGTTTGTTTTTCAGATCAGCCAAACTGTTAATGAGTGCTGGCAGCAGTGAAGAAGATATAGATGACATTATTGATGAAATCTGTAATGACAGCAGCTTTGCCAAAACACCTCTGGTGAGTAGGAGTCTGGGAAAATGCAGAACAGATGAGGTTCAGCAATGGAAAGAAAGGCACCATAAACTCAAACTGGGTTCAAGCAAAAAAATGAACTAAAACAAGCTGTAGGATAAACTTGGAAAATAAAGCAGAAAGGAAAATACAACCATCCTATGGTGAGGAACAGGAGACGTGTAAAGAAATGGTCTTACCCAGGCAGTAACAGGCAATTAAAGGAAGTGCTAGTTTAAGATAGAGCATAGTGTCAAGTCTCACAGAATCATGGAACAGTTGAGGTTGGAAGGGACCTCTGGTGATCATCTGGTCCAACCACCTGCTCAACCACTGCTTGTGAGCACTTTGTGCTCATTGCCTCTTGTCCTGTCACTGGGCTCTACTGGGCCCCTTCTTTACTCCTCCCATCAGGTATTTACACACATTGATAAGATCTTCCTGGAGCCTTCTCTTCTGCAGGCTGAACAGACCCTTCTCAGCCTCTTCTCATATGAAAAATACTCCATTCTCTTAATCGTCTCCATGGCCCTTCGCTGGAGTCTCTCCAGTAGCTCCATCTACCTTTTGTACTGGGGAGCCCAGAATTGGACACAGTACTCCAGGTGTGTGGCCTTGTAGACGTATCTGGAGTGCTGTGCCCAGTTCAAAAGAGAGATGGACATAATGGTGATTAAAGACTTAGGCCATCTGACATGCAGGTAGAGGCTAAGAAAGTTGGTGTTTAGCCTGGAGAAGACAAGGGTCAGGAGAATCTTGTCAATATAAAAAGAAAAAAACTTCTTTAGTTCTTGTGAGGGTCGTCAAACCCTGGGACAGGCTGCCGAGAGAGATTGTGGAGTCTCCATCTGTAGAGGTTTTCAAAACCCAACTGGACACCATATCCTGGGCAAGCTGCTGAAGGTGACCCGGCTTTGAGCAGGGTGGTTGGCCTAGATGATCTCAAGAGGTCCCTTCCAACCAAAATGATTCTGTTATTCTGTCTCACCAGTGCTGAGTAGAGAACAGGCTGCCGAGAGAGATTGTGGAGTCTCCATCTGTAGAGGTTTTCAAAACCCAACTGGACACCATATCCTGGGCAAGCTGCTGAAGGTGACCCGGCTTTGAGCAGGGTGGTTGGCCTAGATGATCTCAAGAGGTCCCTTCCAACCAAAATGATTCTGTTATTCTGTCTCACCAGTGCTGAGTAGAGAGGAAGGGTCACCTCCCTCAGCCTGCTGGCAGTGTTCCTCCTAAGGTAGCCCAGGTGCTGTTGACCATTTGTGCTGCACGGGCACTCGACTGGCTCATCGTTGACATCATCAACTGAATTTCCCGTCTGGCGCACCAACCACTGCTCCCCGTTCTGTATCATCTGCAAATTACTTCTATCATTTGACAGCAGGAGACTGAGATGAAGCCACAAATTTACATGGTCAAGACAGTCAGAGTGACAGAAGACACTGAAAATAGGTACTCATTTAGGTGTCATCAGTAGAAAATTGTGGCATTTATACTTCATAACCCCCTGGGCAGATTCTCTTGTTTTCATGAATGACATAGGTTTTGCCTTATTTGTCTTTGATAGGGAAAACCCTCTTGTATACCACAATACATACATCTGAATGAGAGAGGATTATGTCACTAAATTTAATTTATAATTATATTAATTTATAAAATTATCATTTTATATTCCTAGGACTTCCCATCTAGGATCTAGAATTCTCATATTCTAGAATTCAAATAACCTGTTTCATGTGCAGCAAATAAACTTTTCAAAGACACTTTATCTTTTTGAATAATATAAGTCCTTGATGTGTTGTCAGTAAAAGTAAAAGCTCAAGAACACTGAGGGAGAAGGTTCCTAAATTAAAACTGGTTTTAAAAGCATAATTATTAGAAAGAGGGCATAAAATACTAAGTCTTGATTGTAAAGTCAAAGTGGTCATGTGTGGCTGAATTCCTTCAGGCAGAGCTGGGAATTCAGGGTGGGCAGAGAAGCCTCGCTGCTCGTTTATCTGTTACTTCAGCAGCTTTTGTCTCAAAGAGCCTCACAGAAACTTGAGGAAGAAAATTCCTAAATTCTTAGTCCCTTTCTTCTATGACTGAGATTTTCTGGCTCCTGCTTATTAAGTAAACCAGAATATCGATACTTTGCTGTAATGCTGCCTTTTATTTTTGATTGCTTTTTAAATAGAAATTGAAGTCTAACTCTGCAAGTCTCACACCTGAAAGCAATAGTGTTGTTGCACAGGCTCACAGGAAAAGGTAAGTGAAAAAAGGTTTTGGCTAGTTCAGCATAGCTTGATCCTAGCTTGTTGTCAGTCAGATAGTATTGCTGCTGTTTAATCTGTGTTGACATTAACTAAGAAAGAAACTGATTATTTAGAGAAGCATTCTTTTTAAAGAAAAACAAAGATAAACAGAAAGATCATTTTGAAGAATTACTAATGTGCTTTCTTGTGGTCAGAATTATTTATTATAAATTTATTAATTATTTAAGTTATTGAACAACAGCTTCCTTTGCCTTATGGATATAAACATTTATCAAATGCTGAAACATATAGTCTGTACATATTTGGTATAGAGAGTGGTTGTCATGCAGTTTTTTTTGAACACCTTGGTAATGGGAATTTTAAAATTGTGTAGTTTGTAAGCATTTGGATACTTTGCCTGTATTTAATAAATATTATTTTTGACATACCATGCAGTTAAACAGGAGAAGCATTGTATTGCTTTCTCCAAAATGTTTTTTTATAATTTAGTATTTTCTAATTAAATCCACGTAGATGCTGTCCGGTGTACCTGGGTGGAAGCTCTTCACCGTGTGGCATAGGAACAAATATTTCAAAAAGGTAAGAAACATGAAAAAAAAAAAGTTCTACTTGCTTTATCATTATTTTTAATCATGGCTGTATTTCTCTGGTGATACGGAGTTCTGCATTTGAACTGGACAGGGACACTTTATATTCATTTAAACATATGTCTGACTGTAACTACAGTTGAATTTAGCTGGTCCCTTCCAGTCCTCTGTTGTTGACCACTAAATCTTTTGTTCTTTTGAAGAGTTGAAAGATATGTGCAAATTAGACACAAGACTCCAAAAATCGAAACCATGTCGTTAAGGAAATTGCTGCTGTAGGGTGTTTTATTTTTCCCTGCCTCTCTTCAGCTTTCTATATGATGCCATATATGTCACTTAAATCAGTGGCTGGTTTAAATCATCCCGGAGCCTGAACTGGAAATAGCCAGAGTGCTTTGCAACTGCAGCTGAACTTGGTAGAAGAGGTACTTTAAACATTTATCCCCAGCATCCTATAGGACATTATTACATTTCCATGTGGGATTTTTTGTAGTAAGTAACTATGCACTTGGTGCATGTTTGAATGCTGGTCAGGTGCCCCAAAGAGTATATATCAAGAGAATATCAGTTTATTTTATGTGTTCAGTGAAGTCAGGAACCTGTAAAAATAATACATGATTGTATCGTTAAAACACCATAACGAATGTGCCAGAAATGTAAAAAAATTAAGATTACAGAATAACCTTGATTCTAATATTTCTGAGTGAGTGCTGTACTTTAAAACAGTTATGATGTGTGTAGGTTCTCTGATTGTAATAAGCTTCTGAAGCTTTTTGTCCTTTTTTTGACCAGAACGTGTGATCAGCTGCGTTGTACTGCTTGTGACTTCCGTGTGTCTCTTTTCAATGACTATATCTGGGATCAGTCCTGCGATTATCTTTTTTTCAGGTATGTCTGAGGTGGGTTTGGTAATTTTTTGGTAATACAATAAGTATTGTGTTACTGTGCTTTGCGGCTTGATAGGAATGGAAGAGATGGGAAGTCCTGAGGACTCCTGTGTTACCTAAAAGGAGCGTGTGTGCAGCCTGTTTGGTGATCAGGTGGGAAAGTCTGCAGGGAGAGGGGTGCAACGTCTGCTGGAATCTGTTGTCATGTCTTCCCATTTCTTTCCCTGTCACTCCTCCTCTCTGCTTTTAAAAATTCAAGTTTCATGAATTAAAAGGCAACCTTACTGCTGAAATAAGCAGCTGATCTGTGGGATGGGTTGGCCTCTGGTGTGCCATTGCAAGATACCTGCAAAATGAATGCAGAGTGTTCAGCATGTGCTTCTCACGATACCTTCAGTCACAGGCTGTGATTGTTTCAAGTCAGATTTTCTTTTTTTCAATATCAAGTCTTATGCTGTCATGTTCAGTGAAAAACAAATAGTTTGATTTCTTAACAGACTTATTTGTGAAGCAAGGTTTGATTAAATGGGGGAGTGGTATTTTTGGTTTTGTGTTATATTGTGATGTTTTCAATGATTTCAATTTTTTTGAAGACTTAAAATTAAGGAGTTCTTATTTCCAGTTTCTCAAAAACTGTATCACTAAAACTTAGTGAAGGATAGTGGAGTAGGCGTGCTGCTAATACAGGCTTCAAATTTGGATTCCTTTTATTTTAGTAAAGTCTGTGTTCATGCCCGTTAGCTCATGGAGGTAATGGACACGTTCAGATAATGTGCTTGGCCACCAGAGGGTGTGACAGCTGGAGTAGAGCAGTGCTGGACAGCATATCATCTCCTTTTCCATTATTTTTCTTGTATTAATTACATGCAAGGTTTTTCCTGTATTTTCATTCCAGTTTCAAAATTTTTGTTTCTTGTTGAGTGAAAATCTTATTTTCCCATTATTTAAAGCAGCTGCACATACAGTGCTGCACTAGTCTCCTAACATGAGTTTAGTAGCTGGAATGGTTAAATAAAAATATGATTCCTTTATTTACTCAAAGTCTAAATTATTCTGCTTCTGAGATCTTGAAATCAATAAAATTCTTTAAAAAAAGACAGGAAAGGCATTAGTAGCGGATATTTGTAACTGATTAAAATCTGTAATCTTTAGCAAGATATTTAGCTATCTATTTTGACTAACCTGAATCTTAAAAAGCAAACTTGAAGATTATTTTCCTTCCACTAATATGCATCTGATCTCTTTTTCTAAAAATTCTTCCATTCATGTTTGCTTTTGGTTGTCTTTATTTAACTGGGCTTGTTAATATTGTTTTTGAGCAATTCAGTGGCCAGTAATTGACTGCCAGGAGGAGGTCATAAGAGCAGGGATAGTTAAAATGCTAGTTTTCACTTGTTTTTTGAAACAACTTGTTTTTGCAATAGCCATGCTGATTTTTCATTTGTTGTGATTGACAGTTGCCCAGGGATTATTTGTGGTTTGATGTACATTCTTTCCTTTTATGGCTGTTTCATTTCAGTCACTTTAACAACCACCCTGAGTAACAGTTCCTGATGAAAAGTTTAACTCTGTAGTTGTACCCACTCTGCATAGGGATTTTTACAGTAAGTTTGGTAGGATAAACACATTTTTTGGTAATTTCTTAACACGAGAATTAACTTTATCTGGGTTTCTTCCCAACTCTAAACCCGACAGAGAACATTGCTTACAAAAACATCAATCTCCAGTTGATCTGAGAATATAGCAAATATGTACGGAGACTGTTCAAAACAGAATTTAAACATATCCCTAAACTCGTTCATGACAGTGGTACTCAAAAATGTTCTTAAGAGCTTTTCTGAATTGAAATGGCCTCATGAATATCACTTTTTAAAAAAAAAAAAAAAAAAGCATGATCCTATGATCCTAAACTGAATTCATTTGATTGGCAGGAATAATATGCCTGAGCTCAGTAAACTGAGAGCAAAGATGATAAAGAAGAAAGGAGCACGAGCGTATGCTTGTCAGTGCAGCTGGAGATCCATCGATGAACTAACTGACCTCCAAACAGAGCAGCAGCTCCGGTGGGTTTGTGGTAAACATGCAGAATGAAGTCCTCTTCTGGTTGGTACCTGCTGAAATTAAAAGGGCCCATTAAAATCACTTTTTAAAAAAAAAAAAAAAAAAAGCATGATCCTATGATCCTAAACTGAATTCATTTGATTGGCAGGAATAATATGCCTGAGCTCAGTAAACTGAGAGCAAAGATGATAAAGAAGAAAGGAGCACGAGCGTATGCTTGTCAGTGCAGCTGGAGATCCATCGATGAACTAACTGACCTCCAAACAGAGCAGCAGCTCCGGTGGGTTTGTGGTAAACATGCAGAATGAAGTCCTCTTCTGGTTGGTACCTGCTTGTGCAGAAACAGGTCATAAACTCAGTTTGTTTCCCACACAGTTTTCTGAGAACAGATGGAAACCTGAATCCTTAGATCTAGAAATAGATCACAACACCCAGACTCCAACCCAAAACCTTTTTTCTTTTTCAACTTAACTGTCTTGCAAGCAATATGGGGAGGTGAATTATTAGAAGAAACAACCGATTTGGAGGCTTTGTGGAAGCTAAAGGAAGTTAAAGCTCATACTCCATAGTGTTAAAGAAAGGAAGAGGAAATGGACAGATTGAGGCCTGGGGCAAAGCACCTTGAGACTTTTCCTCGTATGTAGCAGAGAGCCCTGTTTCTCACGTCTGCAAAATCTTGGACTCAAAATGGTGAGTTGGGATGCAGCCATGACACACAAGCGGATGAATTTCTGCACAGAAATTAATACCTCTCTTCTGCTTTGCTCATAGCTGTTAATGAGCAAGTGGTTGTAGATCTCTTAAAAAATTACTGCAAGATCAGCTCTCACCTCGAAGGTTTCAGCACACCCCAAAACTTTACTTTCTTATACCCACCGGTAGCCAAAAACTGCAGGTGCTGGAAATTTCCTTCCAGTTCCTACTGCTTTCTTCAAAGCATTTTCTGCTGACTAAAGACTTTTCAGCAGTGAATTTCTTGGATCTCCCTTCAGCCTTCACTGCAAGAGGTGGACAAGTTATTGTGCAATTATTAAATATTGTGCAATTTTAAAGAGATTCTGAAGAATATATGACTCTTCTATCAATATTTTCAAGGGAAAAAAGGCTCAGGCATCTAAGAGTGAGGAAAATATGTATCCCCACTGACGTGCAAATTTGGATTTTTTACAGTTTCACTTAGTTTTCACTTCAACTTCACTTCAAAATACTGCATATTCAGAAAGTGTAACTGTCCTGTTTCAACACATTCCCTTCCCCCAGTAACATCGTAAAACTACTTCCAGTATCATGTTACTGGGTGAATTGTCTTGATTACAGTTAATGTCACTATAGTTTATGAGCTCTTTCTTTTCATTATGTATAAATAACACAGGAGATGGATTTGGGGTTTGGGCAGGCAGAAAGGAAGGAAAGGATTACCAGTCCTGGCAATTACTACTTTGAAAAGTGTTTCAAAATGGGAAGTCTGTCAGTATTTTTGCTATGCAGTATGTGATACTCTACAGATAAATTCAAAATTACTTACTTTGTGCAATTCTATACAGAGCCATTTATTATTTTTTGTGAAGTTTTGTTCATGGCCTTGCACTGTACATTGTCAATCTGTTCTTTTTCTGAGCGTTTCCAAAACAATCACGTGGTCTTTCTATAGAGGTCTTCTCTCAAATCTGTTGCTTTGTCCGTACCCCTCTGAAAGAGCAGATCCCAGTAGTGACCAGAGGCATAGTGTACTCTGTGTCCTGCTGACCTTGCCCCCTCCAGGAGTGTTTTTTTGGAAGGTGCAGAGGACCAGCAGTGTGCCTGGGATTCCTGGCAGCGCTTACATACACAGTGCTTTGCTGCTCTGGCCACGTTGGTGGTAGGTTCAGAGGTGAGTTGGCTTTGGAGAGGTACTACTTGGCCTAATGGTAGAGACATATTCAGGGTCATGTATTGTTTTCAATGCAATTGGTGTTTCAGGCTGAAGTTTCAATTGTAGGTCTTAAAACTGCAGGTTCAGGAGACAGACCCAGACACCAGTTGATTAATGGTCAGTCGGTTCCTGGAAGAGGTCTGCTTGCCTTTCTGTCCTTTGTGAAGAGACAAGCCCCATGTGGACTGAGCAGTAAGTGTTCTTGGGGTTTTTTTCAGGTGGGCCTGAGCGATTTCCATTCCCAGAGAGCATTAGCGCTAACGGTAAGAGCAGAGCCCAGCAGTGGTATGCAATTTATTAACAAGCCCTAGCAAAGAGTAAACCTGCTTTCCATTCTTCTTCTTGAAGAAGAATGCATTTCAGAAAGTGTTGAGCTGCCTTGGCTTGCCTGTTCCAAGGCCATTTAAAACTAATGAGCAAGCAGCTCCACGGGATGCTCTTTTGGCCTGGATTTGCACTGGAACTTGTGCCCCAATGTAGGGAAGAAGTTAGGCTGGCGACTTGTGAGCAGGAAACGGAAAATCCTAACACCCATCTCAGTTCATGAGACCAAATCTTATGTGACTTGGAAAAGGAGTGTGTCTCCTGTACCCTGCTTTAAACAAACCAATAGAAATAGACACCCCCTCTGGAACAGTTTGCACTACCAAGCAGGGGGAGCAAATTGGGCAGAACCAGAAGTTTAAGATGTCTATGCGAGTGATTTTTATGGCAAGAAGACAGCCTGCAGCACTAAAAAAGTGAAGGCAAGGAATGAATTGAGACAAGAGGACTAAGAGTGTAGGAGAAGTTAAAATTATTAACAGCAATATCTATTGACAGCATTAGTCAGCATTTCTCCCAGGTCACCTCATCCCTCAGTCTTCATAGAATCACAGAATAGTTTGGGTTGGAAGGGACTGCTAAAGATCATTCAGTCCAACCCCCCTGCGATGAGGAGGGACATCTTCAACTAGATCAGGTTGCTCAGAACCCCATCCAACCCTTGAAGATTTCCAGGGATGGGAAATCTACCACCTCTCTGGGCAACCTGTGCCAGGATTTCACCACCCTCATTGTGACAAATTTGGCCTTGTTGAACTTAATAAGGGTCACATGGGCCCACTTCTCTTGTTAGCCCAGAGAGTTGTCAAAAGAGTTCACTTTTCTCAATAGAGATTGCTGTCAGGCCATTGTATCTTTAATGCTATTAAGACTGCACTCCAAGCACTGAAAATGTTCAAATATGATCTTAATTGGTAAATATAAGTGGAAACCTGTGCATTCCTGTGAAATCATCGTGTTCATACAAACCTTGGTCAGAACGGTGGGATATGACAACTCTTTGTCCAAGTGAAGTTTTAAGCTGATGCAGAAATAGTGCTTATTGTATTGGTTTTCATTACAGAATTTAGCATATTTCCAGATCTGAGAATAGTTACTCTGTCATTAAATATAATTATTTTGTTGGCAATAGGACTGGTATTAAGTTTTTTTATTTTCCTTCCTTTGCTTTCTTCAGTTACATGTTACAAACCACTCCAAAGGATGTAAAGAAAGGTAAAATTAGAGCTTGAATGTTCCTTTGAAGGTATTGTAAGATTGCACAAGACTTTCAAGATGCAGCCCAGCCCCTAAGTGATATTTCCGTGTCAGTTATCTGAGACAGCAGGGATTATGTGTAGAATTTTGGTTAAGAATGTCATTCAGCTGTTGTCAAACGGAAGTACTGGAGAAACAGTTTTGCTAAGTATAAATGTGACCATTGTTTTCCTCCAGGTTTTTTTTTTTTGCTTTGGAAGAAATAATATCATTTCTATTTGTGAAACGGGCAAGGTGAAAACTTGATATTTGCATTTTGCTTGAGTGATGTGCTTGGAAATTTTCTAGCCTGCAGCATTAGTCTGTGGCAGATCCCTCAAGAAAACAAAAGCACTGAAGGGTGACAAAATGAGAATCTACACAAGAGCATTCATTTGGAAATGTAGTCAGTGGGTTAATGTCCTACCAACTTTTCTAAATCTGTGCTCCTGCAGTGCTTCTGGACAGGAATCCAATTCAGATGTACGGAGTACATTTTGAGAGCTGCTCTTTATCAAATTTTAATGTGCTGTTCTAACTGTATCTCACTCGTTTTGCCTGCAAATGATGGAGGGTGTCCAACCCAGATGCTGAATATAGCTCAGAAGAGTAATTATTAAGGATCTTGCCCTGCCATAAAATTTAACTTACAGAAACCTAGTAGCATTACATACTGCAAGCTCTGCACTGCATAAAACCGAATAAAGATTTTTGTTTTCCTGACCACCCATTTCAGGCACTGGAAGCTGCTGCTTGTCGAAAGACGGCTCGTTTCTCTTGTGTCCTGACATGTGAGTCTTTGGGTCGTGTAACCAGCACATGTGAGGTCACACAATAGGAGAGGAACTCTGCTGGCACCCACGGAGGCAAATTTTTCTTACTGCCGGGCTCTTTTTGCACAAGACCTGACCAGTTCTGTCTGTTGTGTGACGCCCGATAATCAAGGTCAACCTTGGAAGGGGATGGAGTAAAGCAGCGTCAGGTGCTGCTCCTTCGTGAGGGCCACGAATGCTGCCTGGGACTTGGCACGTGTGCTCCAAGGAAAGTATTTTTCATGTGTCGACGCGTCAATAAAATAGAATATTGGAACAAATCTGAGCTGTGTGTTGTGTAAATTCTCTTCTGTTCTAGTTATGCAAGAGAAGCCTTCTGAAAACGAGGTAGGACCATGTTTCCTCTATCAGAAGGGTTCTGGAATGCCCTTGGTACAAAAACGTTCTCCTGCTCATATGAAACAGTAAGTACCCTTGTGTGTATTCTCACAGCACTGGGGATGTAGCAAATACCTGAGAATTTAATGAGCTTTAACAGTCTTTACCAGATAACATGAGGAGAGTACGTTATGTTATAGAGAGCTCATAAAGGTGAATTAATTTAATTTACCACGTTTCTTGGATGTTTACCATGGATAAAAGATGGATGCGGTTGCTGTGGGAGGTGGCATAAAGGCAAATTCCTTGCAGAGTGGGATGTTGGTACCTTTGTGCATCAGTCAGGGCAGGTTATCACTAGCCTTATACTGGTCACTTAAAAGTGGGAGATCAATCAAGGAGTCACAGCGTTGGCGTCCCCGAGATCTTGCTGTAGAGAAATGTTCTTAGTACCAGGAAGAAGTTGCTCTACTTACGGGAGTTGGAGCAAACCTTGTTTCTCCATCATGAAGCAGCGCCGCGTGGTGCACATCAGAGCAACAGGCATAAATATTTCATTGGCTCCAAGGAAATTTGGATTCTAGGTGCTGGTGCTCTTCAGGCAGTCCTTGCTTCCCAGACTTAGTGAGCAGCGTGGACTTGGTGAGGACACACAGAAACCCCCCCTTGCCCCAGAAGTCCTCCTGACTTGTCTTACTTAGGACTTATGGTGCCCCTTAGAAGGTAGTGTCCGTTGTATGTTTAATTCACATTGACTGCTTTTATTCCGTCGTGCTTTAAACGGAATTTGGGGTAAAATGTGATTATAGGGTCTAGTCTGCAGAGGGCAGAGCAACACCGCTGAGTTTTATGGTTCAGGATTCTGCTTCACTAACACAAGCTCATACTTCTTTTTCCTGGAATAATGAAGAGTTGCATTCACCCGGCTTAGGCTTCTTGCATTTGTTTCCTAGTGATGTAGTTATAACTGAGGTAGCCAGATCTGCGGCAGTTCTGCTTGATTTTTGGGTAACTTCATCCAAATGGTCCTTCACCAATACTGAAGTGGATTAACTTTTTTAGCTATGAGCAAAAGAAGCATAAAAATGTGTGTGTGTATATACATAAATGTATGTATGTTTTTTCCTCTAACACCACCAGTGGAAGAACTAAAGTGCCTTTGGGATTTACCTGTTATCCTGCCCAAATTAATTTCCCCTGAAAACGTTGTTAAGCAGTTTTGGTAAGTAGGGGTTGTGTACTTTACACCCAGTACAAAGTTTATGCAGCACATCACCCCAGATGTGAAAAGATGGCAGAACTTAAAAAGGAAATAGTAAAATGTCAAGATTTAAAAATACCAAAAAATTGTTCGGGAAACCAGTAAGTGTGAATGTACAAAGCAGATCTATAGTGGATGTGGGGGTGATCTCCAATAACTGGTGAGGTTGTGCCTATTTCTCTAGAAGAGATGAGATTCTTTTAACTAGAAGCACAAACATATCATAGAATCATAGAATAGTTTGGGTTGGAAGGAACCTTTAAAGGTCATCTAGTCTAACCTCCCCTGCAATGAGACATCTTCAACTAGATCAGGTTGCTCAAAGCCCCGTCCAACCTGACCTTGAATGTTTCCAGGGATGAAGCATCGACCATCTCTCTAGGAAATTTGTTCCCAGATTTCACCACCCTCATAGCAAAAATTTTCTTCCTTATATCTAATGTAAATCTTCCATCTTTTAGTTTAAAGCCATTACTCCTTGTCCTATCGCAACAGGCCCTGCTAAAAAGTTTGTCCCCATCTCTCCTGTAGGCCCCCTTTAAACACTGAAAGGCCACAATAAGGTCTCTCTGGAGCCTTCTCTTCTCCAGGCTGACCAACCCCAACTCTCAGCCTGACCCCACAGGAGAGATGCTCCAGCCCTCTGAGCATTTTTGTGGTCCTCCTTTGGACTCCATCTAACAGGTCCATGTCTTACCTGTGCTGAGGGCTCCATGGCTGGACACCATACTCCAGGGGGAGATATCAAAACCATGAAACTGGAGTTTGCTTATTTTGCTAGTATCATCTAAATTTAGCCGAGTTACACCACAGGTGAGTGATCTCTGTAACACTTCGTGATTTTTTTTTTTTACTTCCTTCCTTCCCTGTAATAAGCGAAATAGTTGAACAAAAAGTTTTAGCAGAGAAAATAGGAACAAGCAAGGCTGAGTAGCACACCCTGAGAGGCTGCAGAGAGGACAGTTTTGTCAGAACGTGTTTTCAGGCAAGAAATCAGCCATCGTTTTTTCGTTTGCTTCTAAAGAAGACAAATCTAAGGGAAAGAAACGAAAATAGCATGCTGTACTTCAACGGCCCACAAACAATTTGCCAGAAGCAAGCACAAAACTTCATAGGGGAGGTGTCCAATTCCAGGGTCTGGCCCAGAAGACACGCATGAATCCACCCCTCCATCCACTGCCCTTCAGCCACTTCCATCCCAGAAACCTGAGCTGCACAGGGAAGCAGGAGGGACTTCATCAGCAGAGCAAGCACCTTGCTTGCTCCCAGGTGAGGATGCTGTGGAACACTTGAGCAGAGCACAGCTTACAGGGAGAGTTTTCCTCTAAAATTTGTAAGAAGGGTTTCCTGCGGCATTTTGAAAGGTGTTTCCTGGTGATAGGTTTTAGACACAAGAGCTAACACGGTCAGATGTGATATTTAGACATTATGTCAGGTATTATATTTAGTAATAAGAGCTAATATATTCAGAGCTGCTAAAATCCTCTTAGCCAGTGGTTCATAACTGTTATTCAAATATAGGCAAATGAAGTTTTTCATGAGAGTTTAGTGAAACTGAAACCCTTACAGCCTCAGAGCTTACACTAAAGCACTGGGAGGCAGAGAGGAAGAAGACATTTTCATACTGGTCAAACAAATGCATAATATACTAGCTCCGAGTACCTTAAATACTTCTATTTAAAAATGTGGTTGTTTACAGAGGGGAAAAAATATTAACTAGCTCTTGAACGATGGTAGGATATTTACTAAGTAGCCACGAAATCTTTCAATCTATATTTAAAAGCAAACAATACGGCCTTACTCTAAGACAATGCAATATATGGTATAGTAATTAAATACAGGCAACATACATCTTTCAGCTATGGCAAGGAAGCTCCAGAATACTCAGCAATCTGACCGTGCTCGGAAGCCCGTGTCCTGACCGCCCCGATGTAAACAGCACTCACAGGAAGGAGGGAAGCAGCCACCAGAGACAGGAAGGGTGAATTTAGCATCCAACTCCTTATCTAGGCAGAGCGGGCTGCTCAGGATGCTGAGGAAGAGTGTAGGAGCTGCTGGAGCAGACTGGGATAGCCCTTCCTGGGAAGAACCATTCACGTCGAAGCAATCAGGGTGCAATCTCGTGCACGCAGATGGGTTCAGGAAGAGATTGTATCCTGGGGCCTGTTGTCCAAAATGACGCTCCCTACGGCGCGTTGCCCTCTCCTTCAGCCTCGGTTCCTGTCACTTGCGGGAAGAGGTGGGTCTGCATGCTGAAGGAGGAGGGTGTGTGCCTTTTAAAAACAAAAGCTTTATCATCACAAGAATTATTATGGGTCTTACTAGCTCTAAAGAAATAGAAGCCTTTCCCGAATGCCAATAGGTACTGCAATATCTGGTTTAATTTTTAGATTATAGGTTTAATATCAGAGCTGGCACACCTCCGCTTCCAACACTTTAGAGATAAAGGCTGCTGCAGAGTTGTTTTACAGGCTCTGGATCGGCAAGGCGTCTTATTTACAAGTGGGAGATAAGCAGCTTCAAACCATTCTTTGCAGTGTAATCGGTTGCTCATTAACGTTTGATGCCCAGTTTTCTTTTGATTTCTGGTTGTATCTTGGGAAATCCATCTGCCCCGAGCCTGTAGCACAGCAAGGCACCGTTTAATCAATATATGCTCCCCAGTGGCTGAAATGAAAAGTTAACACAAAATTGAAGTGCCCTCTGCATTGATTTTCCTATGAATGATGACTTATTTCTCCCATCTTCCCCAAAGTACACTGCAAAATTATTTCAGATTGTCTCAAAACTTTACTCAAGCTGAGATTGAGACCTGGAAACACTTTAAAGGAGGCTTTTAGTTGCATCTTCCCACATGTGTCTAAAACACCTCTTTTCACTTTTTTTTCCATGCTAAATATATATTTAGTTGAATTCCAGTAAGGAAGGCTGGAAACAATTAAAGTAGGAAAAAGGAGAGGGGTATAAAAGAGCCTACCAATGTCCTGAACAGCAATAAAATATATCTGTCCTGGGTAACTGTGAAGAGAACGTCCTGGATTTGCATCGCTACAACAAGTTGAGCCAAGAAGACATTGGGGTCCCTCTGTTCTGCCCCCTGAATGTGGGTACCTCACCCCAGCAGCCTGGGGAGCACGGGAGGGCACAGCGATACAGCTGTCAGCAGTCTTAGTGCCCGGAGCATCCAGCCAGGTGCTTCACACCAGCTTTGCTAGTGTAAGCTAAAATCCTTCACCCTTCTGTTTTTGCAAAGGACTTTTTTTTTTTTTTTTTTTTTTTTTTTTTTTTTTTTTTTTTTCTACTAGGCATGATGTGTTGGAGATCCCCAGAGAAGAGCAAGCCCACTGTTACCCATCACAGACCTTCAGCAACAGAATAAAAGCTAATACACTTCTTTTTTTTTTTTTTTTTTTTTTTTTTTTTTTTTTTTTTTTTTTCTTTTTTTTCTTTTTTTCCCCCTCCTGCGGTATATTGGAAATCCCTCCTCAAACCTGGAGAGCATTACTTCTTTATAAAGAGTATGTTTGTGAAGTGGATAATTTCCAGATGTGAAACGGTTCCTCAGACCTTGCAATAACAACTCACCGCTGGGGCTCCTCGGCCAGCGCTGGGCACGTGGTTGCCTTGGGTATTTTCAGGGTCCATCCCAAGGCAAACGACACCTTTAGAGAGGGGAAAAGCAAACAGCACCTCACGGCCCAGAGCACCTCATCAGGTTTGTCCCGACACATTCTCACGTCATTGTTCGATAGGGTAACAGGCCATAAAAGAACCAAGCAGCTACTTTCCTTTTCTGTCAGATGTTGCAAGTTACTCATATTTCCTGTTCTGCTATTTAAAGGACTAAGGGCTGAAAAATGGGAGTTCATTAACTTGTCTGAAATGAAATATTTTCCTGCCTTTCTAGAGCCGCGTTCCAATGAGTGACACAAACACGGGCCCTGGAGAGCATCTCCGAGGAGCAGGCAGCACCTTCTGCCCTGAGACAAGGACCACCCCAGCTGGAAGCTCAGGCTGAACCCTGGGGCAGGTGGCTACCAGAAATCTCATCCCCGAGTCCACAGGGGAGCTGGACACCGAATCCACCAAAGATAGAGAGACCAGGAGTTTATGTACCGGCTTGTCCAGTGGGTCCCAGGAGGGACAGGAGGAACATCCTTCCCTGCTGCCTGATGGGTTGGGCTGTATTTTAGCCAAAAAACAGAAGAACACGGGAGAATTTCAATAAGCTAACACCAGTGGTATTTAGGCACCAAATCCCTCTCTGTATTTTTGACAGTCTCCCCTTATCTGAGCACATTCACACTTCAACCACTGAGAAATAAAATGTTGCTTCCCACACTTCTTTCCTTTCCCGTCAGCTGCTGTTTTCTTTACAGACTTAAAACTATGCTTGTTTGTCCTTCAGAAAAAAATCTTATCTCTGTCCGGACAGCCTGGGAAAAGCTCAGGGCACGCTTGCAATGCAAACTTTGAGGAAGTAAATCTAGTTTCTCAATGAGTCCAACCAATTCAGCTGTGGGGTCTGACAGCCAGCCTTCTAAACTTTTGATGGAGAAAGATCTTGCTGTGCTGGGACGTGCCGTGGAGTCCTGCAGGCCCTAACGTAGCTTTTGGCCCCCCAGGAGATCACAGGCCACATCTGAGAGGCCTGAGAAGGGTAACTAGGAAAAGCAGGTCTGTTGTCAGCAGCCTTAAATTTGCCATCCTGGATTCTGTACTGTTGGGAAAAAAAAAAAAAATAATAATAATGTGAGGATTTGCAGACTGAGAGAAAGGTCGGAGAGCATGGCCACCAGCCGGGCAGGGCAGCTGCTGTGCTTTTCAAAATACAAAGGTAAAGTCTTCCCGCAATGCAAAGATGTTTTCAGGGAAATCTTTTCATTCTAATGTACTCTGACTCAGCACCAGTGTGTAAACTGTACACCATGAACACACCTGTGCACAAACACCCTCACGTGAGTTGCTGCCGTGCGGGCAGGTGTGGGTGAGCACTCAGGGGCCTGCTCCCTGGAAAATCTCAGAATCCCATGGGGTTGGAAGGAACCTCTGGAGATCATCTAGTCCAACCCCCTGCCAAAGCAGGGCCACCCAGAGCAGGTTGCACAGGAACGTGTCCAGGAGGGCTTGAATGTTTCCAGAGAAGGAGACTCCACCACCTCCCTGGGCAGCCTCTTCCAGGCCTCTGCCACCCTCAAAGTCAAGAGGGTCAGCCTCAGGTTTAGGTGGAACTTCAAATATTCAAGTTTCTGCCCAATTCTTCTTGTCCTGTCCCTGGACACCACTGAAAAAACATCAGCCCCAGCCTCTTGACACCCTCCCCTTAAGTATTTATAAGCATTGAGCAGATCCCCCTCAGCCTTCTCTTCTCCAGACTAAAAAGACCAAAGTCCCTCAGCCTCTCCTCATAAGGGAGGTGCTTCAGGCCCCTCATCATCTTTGTAGCCCTCTGCTGTTCCCTCTCCAGCAGTTCCCTGTCCTTCTTGAACCGGGGAGCCCAGAACTGGACACTGATCCAGATGGAGCCTCACCAGGGCAGAGCAGAGGGGCAGGATGACCTCTCTCGACCTGCTGGTCACACTCTTCCTGATGCACCCCAGGATGCCATTGGCCTTCTTGGCCACAAGGGCAGATTTTCGGCTCATGGTCATCCTATTGTCCACCAGGACTCCTAGGAATCTCTCCTCAGAGGTGCTCTCCAGCAGGTCACCCCCAACCTGTCCTGGTGCAGGGGGTTATTTCTCCCCAGGTGCAGCACCCTACACTTGCCTTTGTGCAATCACACCTGAGGAGCTCCCCTCGCTCTGCTAATTATACTACAGGAAGCTTTAACGCACGGCACCAACCCATCCTGCCAACTGCTGGGCTCCAGCTTTTCCTTTGTGCACCTTAAATGCAAAGAAAGGGGGTCCCACCAGGAGCTTCTCAGTGGCTGCTGCCAAAAGAGCAGCAATGGGTTTGAAAGGGGAAGGAGATGGAGGATGCTGCCTGGGAGGTGAAAGCCAGCAGAGATCCTTCCATGCCTCCTCCTCCCCAAAATCCTACACAGGGAGCAGGGATTTGGGACTCCACCTTGTAGGCAGGGGGAGAAAAAGAAAAAGGAGCCTGTCAAGCCCCCCGTGCGCTGAGCCTGGGGAAGGCAGACGCCAGCAGCCAGGGAGTGGAGGAAGAGGAAAGGAAGGAGGCAGGCTGCACTGTTTTAAAAGTTTGGGGAGTTCAGGCAATGAGCAGTCACATGCATTACTTACCTTTTAAGATCTCCCCATACACTGCTAGCCATTTAAAAAAAAAGTAAAATTAAAGATCACACATCTTAGTGAGGAAAGCAAAAAAAAAAAATATATAGAACCTAAAAACTAGAATAAGCTACAGCCACAGCCTTAAATCAGCAGAAATAAAATGTGGGCCTGACTCAGAGATTTTTACATCTTACAGTCTTGAGAAATCATCTTCGTTTGATTCATAAAATAAATCAACATGATGCAAACAACGTCAGGAACTTAGTAGTTTCGAGAGGAGCTGATGCTAAAGTAAGGTAGGCAGGCACTGAAACACCTCCCAGCAGGACGACCTGACGCGTGGTTGTGTAATGGGGATAAGTACAGTATTTCTTTGGAGCATTAACCTGAATTAAAGGATGAAATGGCTGGGCAGGGATCAAGCGACACTCCTGGTCACTGCTGAGGCCTTGGTAAGTATTAGAGGATCGGCAATACCATCATTTAAACACGGAAAAATCTCTCTGAGGAGCACAGCAGGTTTCTTGCAAGGGATTTCTTCTCCCTGCAGGACCAGACCAGCTCTCAGGGTGGCCGTGGCTGGGGAGAAGGGGGTTCAAGGAGGGCTTCAGCATCCCCCACCCCATCGTGTCTGCACCCAGCACCTGCAGGACATGGTTCTGGTCTGTCCCTGCTTACCCCGTGGGCTGCAGTGGCTCTCCACGGAGCCCAGCCGTGCTTTCCAGGGAGGGCAGCTGGGCGAAGCGTTGGGGACTGATGCCAAACCAGCTTTATTGTGTCCATTACGCAGCCGCGTGGGGAGTTACATCCCTAAATCCCTCCGCATCGCAGCGGGGGAGCGCTCCCCGCGCAGCCCTGTGGCTTGTTGTCACTAATCCTCTCAGCTCGCTGCTCAAAATAATACACAGCGTGAGGCAGCCCCTGCCGCTGGAGTAAAGCCTGGTGTGCAGCAAACTCACCTAAGAGCCTGATCTCCGTCTGGGGTGAGGGGGGTAAAGCAGGGCAATGCCCCCCACAGCCAGTCCATCCCACTGGAGGCATTCCTTCCCATGAGAGTGGAGGCAAGGCCACACATTGAAGGGGAGGGGGGCTTTAAATCCAGAGCCCTTCAACAGGGTTATTCCAGATTTTCCTTGGGGAGCCAAAATCCAAATTTTGCCAATAGCACGTACACAAATGCCATTCGTTAAAGTCTACAAGCTTTGCTTCACTTTGAGAGATACCTCCAGGGAACAAACCCCTCCACGTTCTTTGCAACTTCAAAATGGATTTTAAGATGCTGCTGCCCGTGTAGGACCTGTAACAAACTGTGCCCTTGCAGAACTGCCTTCTGTCTGGTGAACCCGGCTGCTGTCATCAACACAAACTTCACCCTGTCATCTCCATGATAACACCCTAGATAGCCTTCCTGCAAAGGCAGCCCACGGGGGTGGTAGCAGCCTTCATAGAATCATAGAATCGTCTAGGTTGGAAGGGACCTTAAAGATCATCTAGTCCAACCATCAACCTAACTCTGACAAAAAAATAAGAAAAAAAAAAAAGCCACACCACTAAACCATATTCCTGAGGACCATGTCAGCCCGTCTTTTGAACACTTCCAGGGGTGGTGCCTCAACCACTTCCCTGGGCAGCCTATTCCAATGCTGGATAACCCTTTCCGTGAAGAAATTTTTCCCAATATCCAATCTAAACCTCCCCTGGTGCAACTTGAGGCCATTTCCCCTTGTCCTATCTCCTGTGACTTGGGAGACAAGACTGACCCCTGCCTCTGTACACCCCCTCTTCAGGTAGTTATAGAGCGCAATAAGGTCTCCCCTCAGCCTCCTCTTCTCCAGACTGAACAACCCCAGCTCCCTCAGCCTCTCCTCGTAAGACTCACTCTCCAACTGTCTCTCTTCAGCAAAGGGAAGATTGGTCCTTGTGGATACGTATTTTTAAAGCACATTTTCAAATGATAAAAAAGCGACAGTCAAAGATCTTGCCCACTAGATGAGGATTTTGAGGCTCCCAAGCTCTGGCTGGCTCCGTTTCCCCACCGCACCCCCAGCTCTCCCCTGCTGCTGGTGTTAACACAGCTCCATCGTTTTGTCACGGTGACTTTTGTGCTTAGGACTTCTTGATGGGATGAGCAGGGCTGACACACACGTATCCCCCCAGCCACCACCACTGCTTGCTTCTGGGGGAGCTCCTGCTCTCAAAACCAGCTCCCAAAATTGTGACAGAATAAGGTCTGAGTCAAACAGTGCTAGCACACTGGAAAGAATCTTCCTTTGCCACTGATTAAAGGCAATGTGAAGACACTTGGCTGATGTGTTCCCCTAAACTGATCATGTGTCTGAGCACCCAAACATCCTCTAACTCGGCAAGGCAAGCTGGCTCTAGGACAGCTTCCCACTGGGACCAGTTTAATGTGTGCTGGGGAACAAGTGACGGTGCCTTCACTTGGCTTGGAGCCTGCTGGCTACGTGGAAGCCAGCTGGGATGATTCTGCATCATCCCTTTCAGCTCTGTCTGGAGTTAGGAAGCCAAAAATAAGAACAGTCATCCAGACTTTGATACTCTCCTAGGAAAACTAGTTTAAGAGTCATTCCTCAGGAGCTTATCTAAATGTAAAATTGCGTTAATTCAACAGAAACAATTAAACTAATTGAAGCTTTTGCAAAACGTTGTGCACGTACTCCTGCTTGCATTTCAACCAGATGTCTTTCATACCTGCCTCCACCATCGCTTGCTCCAGTGGTTTCCAGTGTGTGCTTCCTCCACCTTCAGACAGGTCACAAGAAATACCCGAGAAAAGCAGTTTGGCAACAGGTTTGAATCACTCTGGGGTAAGCACTGGGAAGTATCTGGGCGAACAACAAATTTGAAAAGATCAAAAAAAAGCACTGGCTTTTTTAGTTAGTGAAACGTGCGTGTAGCTAAAGCCTGGGGATGAAGCCACCACTGTCTCAGGAGTGATCTGGCTGGCCATAGGGCAGCACAGCAAGAAAATAAAAAGTCCCAGCCATCCCCCCCACCAGCCTCACCGCTGCTGCTCAGGTCTGCTGTGATTTCCAGAGCATTGCTGGCCACCTGCAAACCTGGTCCTTGCTCTTGGGGCAA